TTGCTTGCCTTTAAGAAATCATATTAAGCATAGAAGAAGATTGATAAAAGCATATTCTAAAAAAAACGAAAGTAAAATGAAAAAGAAAGGTAAAAGAAAGCAAACTCTAAACTTGGATTGCCTCCGGGAAGCGCTTATTTTTAAGGAGTCATTAGCTGGACTCCTTCCCGCTCTACGTTTCTGCGGCTTCCTCCAATAGGATCTCCTTATTTAGTTTTTGCACTTTATACTTGATTTTGTAAACATGGATTTTTCTCTTATATGCCCTTTTCAATTCTTCTTTCCTTCTCCTTGTGACACCTTCTTCAGCTTTACGCTTTATACCGCTACCACGCTTTTTCTTTTTTCACTCCTTCCTCTACCTCGATTGCTTTGTTAGTCATTATTTCATCATCACTCGAGGTCACGAATTCTTCCTTACTTTCATCACATAATGAAGAATTTTGTGGTTTAAAAGTGAAAACTTCAAATGTAGTAGAGACTAGGGTTCGAGGCTTGGTTCTTATGATTGTGGTTGGCATTGCTTCTTGATCAGGCGTGTATGAGTCAATGTAAGAGTTATGCTCATCATTATTCCAAGCCTTAATATTTTCTTTATCTTCTAAGCTTTCCTTCTTGTCATCTTGGACTGCTTCATCATATTGCACAATTATGTCAAGACAAGCTAAGTGTGAATTTTCAAAGTTGCTCACGTTTTTAACAACTTTGCTCTCCTCAAGTGGATACTCCATTTGATCAAGAAAATGTGAACGTCGGGTCCAAAAGGAGTATTCATAGTTCTCAGGCCAAAAACTTCATTAAATCGTGACTTCTTGTCTGGACTCGTCTAGTCAGTGGGTGCTACTCGACGAGTTAGTGAACTTCCAACAACTTTGATTGTTTCTTGATAATCAGCTTCCTCGATCAACCTCTCTATCTCCTTTAGGTCTATTTTTGCGTTAGAATTCTCTTCCAAATGTAATATGAATTGATTTGGATTGCTTTCTTGCAAGAATTCAAGCTCTTTTTCTAATAATTTATCATCCAAATCCATTAAGGAAACTTTATCTTCTCTTGACTCCATGTGGTTATCCATTTTCTTAGCTTTAAAAGTCACCGAATCATCCCCCATCCTTAGTGTTAGTGTAGATTCATGCATAATAACTATGGCACAAGCGGTATTCAAAAACGGCCGCCCGAGAATTATTGGGACTTAAAGGTCCTCTTCCATGTCTAATATTATGAAGTCAACAGGGAACACTAGTTTATCTACCTTGATGAGAAGATCTTCACACACTCCCATTGGATGTATTATTGTTTTATCAGCTAGATGGATTTTCATTTGAATAGGCTTTGGGACTGAAAGGTTTAGCTTTTGGAAGAAAGAGTATGTCATAATATTTATACTTGCCCCTGAATAAGTCCACGCTCGTGTGGTCATTAAGTTCCCAAATTGGCATGGTACGGTGATGCTTCCCGGATCTCCCCTCTTTTCTGGTAGTTCATTCAACACCATCTCAGCTACTAGTTCCATATTTCTTCTGGTTGTAAAGAGGCTTTTGAGCAAACTTGCATATTTTGGAGTTTGAACTATTATTTCAGTAAACAAAATATTCATGTGGAGTGCCTTTATATGCTCCATAAACTTCCTATATTCTTGAATCTGCTCACTAGGTATGGTGCGACTCGGAAACGGAAAAGCAGGCCGATAAGGTTTTAAAAGAAAGCTGTTTTTGTCATCAGGTCTTGGACTCGTCGAGCCCTTATTCGTGACTCGACGAGTCGAGTCGGGTTTACCCGATTCCCAATTAATTTCCTCTTCTGCTTTCACCTTTTTGGGATCCTTCTGGATAGGGGTCAAAGGAGTGAAAAGTTCCTCAGAATTTGTTGTTATTGCTTTCACATGTGCCATTCTTGGATTCTGTTCGGTATTGCTAGGAAGTTCACCCGGTTCTCATTGGTTGATTTGTTGTGCAAGCTGGCCTAGCTGTTTTTCAATTTTATGAATGGATGCTTGCTGATTCCTAAGCATAGGTTGTTGACCAATCATCATAGATTAGTTATCTCTAAGCATATTTCGTTACTTCTTCATTTCAGCGTCGATATCATTGTGCGTTTTCTCGGACGCGGCTACAAATCTTGTAAACATATCTTCCAAGTCTGATTTCTTTTCCTGCACCGGTTCCTCCTTTTGATAAAAACCCCTTGCCTTTTGCTTAAACTTTTCCTCCTTTGCCTTTTTGTATTCATCGTACGGGAGCCATTCTTTTTGGGTTTTCGCCAATCATCTTCATATTTATCGCCACTTGAATAGCACACTTGTGCCTTCCGGTTCCCGTTCTCGTCTAAATCACAATCTCTAATAAGGTGAGGCTCGTTACAATTCTCACATCCCACCTCGATAGCGTGGATGGATTGGTCCATCTTATTCATTCTTCAATCCAAACTCTCCAACTTAGCCATCATGGTTGCCATGCTATCAGTAACTAAGTTCACTGCCCCCTCGATTTGGATCATTCCTTGGGTTATGATATTCTCTAGAATTCTTATAGAAGTCTTCAATTAGGGCCTTTATCATCGGGGGTGCCTTCTTTGTGAGTGGTCCTTACAAATCAAGGAGCTGCCTATTTGTCACATTCACTCCATCATAGAAAATGGAGACTTTTTGTTGACTGTTTAGATCATGATGTGGGCAGTTCCTTAATAATCCCTTATATGTCTCCCATGCCTCATAAAGTGACTCTCCTGCTTGTTGTTCAAAATTAGCTATGGCTTTCTTCAACTTGGCTATCTTCAAGGGGAGGGCAAAATTGGTTTATAAATTCTTCTTTCATTTTAGCCCAAGTAGTGATGGATCCTCGAGGGAGTGATTTTAGCCAATCCTCCGCGTCTCCTTTGAGTGTGATTGGTAGCATTCGAAGCAGAACACTGCTGCGAGCCATATTAGGGACATTGAAGTAGTCGGTTATATCGTTGACCTCGCCTAGATGCTTGTATGCGCCTTCATGATCCTTCCCGTAGAATGGAATTTCCTTAAGTTGAGCAAGTATGTGGCCCTTAAGTTCAAAAGTGGAAGTTGCAGGGATCGCGGGTTGCACGAGTGCTGGTCCGGTGTCATCGCGTATTCTTTTCTTCCATTCGCCCATGGGAACTTCATCGATGTTAGCCATGGGGTTAGCTAGTTCTCCTTCTAAATCTCTTCCTTCTTTAGATTCAGTTTCTTCCTTTTCGGTTTCGTACTCAGTATCCTCCTTTTTTGAGTTTTCGTCCACCACTGAAAAGATGCTTGATTCTCCTTCTTTCTTGCCCTTTTTCTTACTAAAAACAGATTTGAGATTCTTCAACGGTGAATTCTTCGATGTTGCGGTTTCTCCTACGGTTTTGCCTTTGTTTTTCCTCAATGTTGCTTCCGGGTCTTCAAGTGGTGGAATCAGAGGTGTACCTCCTCCTCTGGTCATAAACGAACTGCAAGCAAAATAGAAAACACGTGTAAAAAGAAAAAAATAAACTAAAAATGAAACTATGTTTTCAGCGATGGACTCGTCGAGTAGCTTCGATTACACTTGGCGAGTAAAGAGCTAAAACAAAAAAAATTAAACAAAAGTTCTAAAGACAGAAAAACTTAAAACTTAACCTAATAACTAAATTACTAAAGCAGTAACTTTGTGCAAGATGGATCTTACACAAAGGATCGATAATACTAGAAATTAGAATTAATTTTTGAACCGTTCCCCGACAACGGCGCTAAAAACTTGATGTGTGTGAAATGAACTAGTTTTATCCTACTTTTTGAATATGAATTAGACACACAAAAGGCAGTGGACCTGTCAATTAGTGATTTAGTTGAATAAGCAGGGTATCGAACTCAGAGAACGGTAATTAAACTAATAACTAAAATTAACTAAAACAAGTAATAAAAGTAAAAGGGTTTCTCTAGTTTTGCAAGACTAGAAAATTAGATGAACTAACTAACACACAAATTAAATAACTAACAGATAAATCAAGTAAAAATAAACTAAATTCAAATAATGAAAAGACTTATGTTTAGGTTCGGTTTATCTACTCTTATGGTTGATTTTATAGCAAGTGCAATGGATTAATTGTTATTGGCTACCGATTAAAGTGTTAGGTTCACATTCGCTATTACCAATCCTTAGAAAACATATCAATTCAAACAATGGCCAGTTGATTAAATTAATAAATTTCATAGTCAATTATTCGGGTTAAATAAGACTTGTAGTGGTTAATTAAATTGGTCGTTCAGTTAACCTCTTGTTGATGGTTTATCACACAAGCTCACACATTAATTTACCCATTTTCTAGTTAATTGTAGTTTCACGTTCGCTATTCCTAGGCACATAACAATGCTTTCACATAAATCACATGAGATAAGCAATTAAGAGATGCTCATGCAGCTTAATTACTTGATAATTAACAGAAAATAGTTATGGTTAATGCATAAGGTTCTTTAACAAGCTTAATGAAAATAAATTCACCAATAAATAATTAATCCAACCACAAATCAATCCATAGTTGTAAATTTTCCTACCCTAAACAGAAGATATAAAGTTTAGCTCATGATTATAGCAGAAGGCAACTAAAAAACGATGTCTAGTAGTTTAAACATGATCAAAACAATAGATAAAGTAAAGAGTAAACTTATGTTGCCTTTAATCTTCTTAGAATTGAAAACTAGGGTTGACTCTCACGATTTCCAGAGCTCCAACAGCCTTCCTAGTTGCAAGGTAATCCTTTAAAAACCCAGAGAGGGATTTGTTTCGGAATTTGGCCTTTATTTATAATTTTCAGAAAAAACAAAGGCTCCTCGTCGAGTAGCCAGCCGACTCGCCGAGTCCCCATTGTTGAATCCGTGTACGGTAAGGACTTTATGTTTTGCTTTGCGAACATTCGTGGGTACTCGTCGAGTAGATGTCCAAACTCGCTGAGTCCTTCAGGATTTGGTTCTTTTCCTTCTTTCTTTAGTTCCCGAGCTTCCGACCGTATTTCCTGCTTCCTTTTGCTCACGAGCATATCTTTTGGACTGAAAATACAATTTAAACACAATTAAGTACCTTTTGTCCATAATTTTCAAATAATTAGCTAATAAATAATAAAAATCTATACTAAATATATAGCTAAATATGCACATATCACCAAGTATGGGATTTTGTTTCTTCCAGTGTGTTGACTCATTAAAAATGGCATGAACTTGACTTTTGGTTTCACTTTCATCCTCATCTTCTACATCATAGTTGGTATCCTCCTGTCCCCCCTCTTCTTTGGCACACAGTTTATTCAAGAATTCATCTTTACATGTCTTATTCATAGCAACTATTTCCTCATTAAAATCCATTATCACATCCCTTAGGGTACCTATGCCACCATCCCACCCACTAATGCAAGAGTCATGGTCATCATCTCCTCTTTCCGACCCAAACATATCATCTATTCCATCACCAATATGGTCTACATAAATAGATATTTGACCATTAGTTCCATATGCATCAAAGATGAAACCTGCATATTCCATTTCATTCGAGATAAGCATACATACACTTAAAAGGGGAGCACCTGGCTCACTGTAGTATAGCTTCTTACAATCTAGTTGCATGAAACATTCAAGAAAAGTAATGCATTCTGAGTGTGCCATACCAGAAAAATCATGATATGTGAAGGTGAATTTCATACTGTTAGTGTAAGATAAAGCCGACGATTAACACCCCCTTAAAGTTCAGTTCCATTACCGAAAATATCGCATTGGGGTTCGAGGTTGACATAACTTCCTCTTCCTCCCACTTCACTTCGATCAGTGGAGGACTTGTAAAACCTAACTCTGGTTGAATGTTTTGAGTATCGCTAATGAAAACGACGACTAAGAGCTGAACTTAAGCCCCTCTCAATTACACTCGACTCGTCTCATTTAAGTTGATAAATACGTGAAATTTCCATCGTGGCATGCAATTTTTTTTTTTTTTTTTTTCGTTTTTCTAATTAACACGTTCATCCAGTTTCCTTGCTCAAAATGGCGTAAATGACAGGTAATTTGAAACTTGAGGGATCAATTGTGCAAAAAGAAACTTGGGTGACCAATCTAGGACAAAGCCAAAACTTAGTTGTGCTAAAGTGCCAATTTCCCTTTATAAAACTTTATATTTTTAACACCTCTCTCAAATTTAACATTCCATCAACGATACTATTTCTTGAAAAAAATATCAGTTGATCCAAGACAATTAAAAACTCTTGTTGAACAGAACCCGAAGATTTTGTTAAGACATCAACATTCTCATATGTGGTACTAATTTTTGTGACTTTTAACACACAATTTTTAATTTATTTCTCTAACAAAATGTAAATCAACCTCAAAATATTTTGTTTTTTTCCATAAAAAATAGGGTTTAAAGCAAGCTTAATTGCTGATTCATTATCACAAAGGATATTAACATGAGTTGAATTATGAATTCTAAGATCAAACAACTTTAAAATCAAAATCATTTCACAACTTATAGACCTCACACGATATTCAGATTATGTTGATGATATGGACATAATGCTTTGCTTTTTACTTTTCCAAAAAACAAGAGAATTTCGAAAATATACCAAATAAACAATTATAAATCTACGAGTGTGAAGACACTTATCTCAGTCAACATCTAAACATCCACAAAACCAACAAGACCAAGTTTTCTTGTTCTATTTACATAAACACCTTTACCTAGATTAGATTTAAAATATCTTAAAACTCTTAAAGCAATATTAAAATGAGATTTATGAGGTTTATGCATATGTTGACATACAAGTTGAACAACATATGGTATGTCAGGCCGAGTCGTGGTTAAGTAAATCGGTTTCTAATTAACTTATGAAATTCAGTCGTATTTACCAAATTATCATAACTATCCACATTACACTCATTTTTTAAAAACTAAGTTAGCTTCAACATATGTTTTAATTGGTTTACACCAAAGCATACCAAATTCATGCAACAACTCAAGGCAATATTTTGTTTGAATTAAGAGACCCCATTATCAACTTTGATAACTTCTATACCAAGAAAATATTTTAATACTCCTAAATATTTCATAACAAACTAAGATTTATGGAAAACCTTGACCTTATATAATTCATCTATACAATCACATGCCAATATAATATCATCTATATATAAAAGAAAAATAACAATTGAATTATTTACATTCCTAACAAACAGTGAATGATCATTAACATTTTTTTTTTAAAACCAACATTAAAAAGAGATGGACATAATTTTTCATTCCACTTTCTAGGGGTTTGTTTAAGATCATATAAATATTTTATTAAGGGTTTAAGTTATTTTGGTTACTTAATGTTTGACTTTATTCTCATTTGGTCATTTAACGTATTTTAAGTTTTCAAATGTTATAGAACTTGTAAATTTATGCTACAGTGGTCATTAAACTTTTGGTTTTGTCACTTAATTTTTGGATTTGTGCTTATTTAGTCACTAAGCTTTTAAATTGTGCTCATTTAGTTACTAAAATTTTAAAATAAAGTTATTAAAATGAATTATAAAAAGATTAATGTCATTATAGCCCAACCAACTTTCACCTTTTGTTTTAAATGGTAAGTAAACTGTTTCTTTTATGCATTCTAAGTCACTGAAATTTCAAGTTACCACTTAAATAGAGGAATATCTCCAAAATGAAAGGGTTATCTAGGTGAATTGGAATATACATGGAACTTTGGTCGACTAATATGGTCCACATGACGTCCATTTTAGATATTTTCTATTAAAATACGAAATTTAAAACTTTCTTTTTCACCTAAATAAAATCAATGAGCCACAAACCCCCCTTAGAGAACTTATGTTCATGTTTTTTTCTTCTTTGTTGGAAATATAATCAAACATTAAGGTGGCTATGGTGGCGGTGAAGAATAGTGATGGTGAATACCTTTGTTTTCTCGTTGCGCTGCCTTGATAACATTTTCTTGCTATCATTGTTCTGCCATAAAATCACTTATGTTGCTCCAAATATATTTCCATTTACCCTCTTTTCAACAACCTAAGCTCTCTATTGAGTGAAAACAAGGTAACTCGTCAGACCCCAAAAGGAAAAGGCTGATATTTTAAAAATTGAAAAGAAAATAAGACGAGATAATTGTTAGCAGGATGTAAATACAAGAAACTAGTTTTAATGAAAAGATGTGACAACCTGATATTTCGAATCAATGTAATGACCTAAAAAGTCAAGAATTGTAATATCTTTTGATATAATGACATTATCGTCAAAAATAAAATGTTCAAAAGTCTCTACTGGATTGGATAAATGATAGATATCGTGTCAAGGGTTTCAGAAATATAAAGAACACTAAAATCTGAGTTATAACGAAGAAGTTATGACCAACCTACGATTCACAGCAAAATCGTCAATACTGTTAAACGTGAAACGCGAAGTTTCAATACAAAATTTTTTAGCCTTAGGTATCTAAATGAAAATTTTAGATATCATTAAACCGTAAACGTACATGAAAACAAAGTCCAAGTATGACTTCGTATGAGGCAGTTGTGATTTTTCCAAGTTCTGGATATAACAGTAGACAGCTAAAAACTCAAAATAGAGATCGAGAGACTTTTGGCCGAAACAACCTAAATGAGAATCAAAGACCTCAAAAATAGTAGCGCAACGGTAAAAAGTCTGACGAAAACGGATGTCGGATGAAGAAGTTATGGATTTATGACGGAGTTTTCGTGTCCCGGACTGTTAAAAATAATTAATTAAAAATAAAGACAAAATTAGCCGAAGAAGTCTAAACGAGAGTTGTAGAGAACAATCCTACCTATGTGTGCATATATAGAACGTTGAAAACGGAGTTCGTACGCGGATGTTACGAGTTTTACAAGTTCGAGACACAAAATCCGAGGCTGTCAGGCTGACTACGACGTGGCACCAGAAGGCCACGATGTGGTACTGTGACTGATGGGTGCCAGGGTTATTAGCAGACGTCTCGTCCATGGAAGAGGATAGGATCAACACCACGACATGGTGAAGAAGACCACGACGTGGCGCCCAAAATAGGGCTATAAATAGAAGCCGATGGTTTCAGGTTTAGGTACTCATTTCTTCTCTTTCTCGTGCCGAAGCTCTGCGTTTAAACCCTCAAAGCCATCTCGAAGCCCTGGTCTTCGCATCCAAGTTCCGAAGGAAGGTTTTACACTCCCGAGATTCCCTAGAGTCTCGAGAAATCAACTTTCTCAAGTTAAAGTTCTGCTCAGTTTTCGTCTCACCTTCTTCAATCTATCAAGTGAGTTCATACCCCTATAACTATGTTTTCAAATATTTTGTAAATGTGTAACGTCATAAAATTTCCAACCAAAAATTTTCATTTTTACAACCATCAAAACATGAGTAATAAGTTTAGATTTCCATAGTAACAATGTAGTCACAACCCATTACATAACAAAAGATAACAAAATAGTTTCCCGAGTGTGTGTACGGTCACGCTGGCGCCTTCCCACGGTCCTCACTCGTACCTGAAACACATAAAGCAACAATTGTAAGCATAAAGCTTAGTGAGTTCCCAAAATACAACATACGCACATACGCCTTTCCAGGCCTTGACCTTCCGATCCATGTGTCTCAGGGGACTTCCGTCCCGACTGGGTAAACCTTCCGGTCCTACCCACGTCAACCCTTACAGTCCATATGACCACGCCTTCCGGCCCATATCAAACATATCATACATGACACATATAGCAAATAACTTAACACGCATAAAGCATATATTTCATATCATATTCGACCTTCCGGTCACACAGTCAAAACCCTTCCGGGCACAGTATAGTGAGAAGACTCACCTCGTATGCCTTGCTAAGTCGCTAATCGTGAATCCTGGAATCACTCGGGCTCGAATCCTCGAGCTGCAATCCTCCTATGATATTATAAATCTATAATTATTACTTGTACCACTAAGGTGGACCATCCAAATCAAGTCAACACAGGTTGACCTGGTCAACAGTCTTTAGTCAATTTGGACCAGACTCGACGAGTCTACGTGTTTTTACCAATTCTCAAGAATTTTCCCTTTGACTCGTCGAGTACTCCCCCGACTCGACGAGTTCCACCTGGGCCTGAATCATAGGGCCACCACGACTCAACTCGCCGAGTCGAAGGTCAACTCGGCGAGTCCCAACCTGACTCGGTCCACCTGTCAAAACCTTTCCAACTCTCTGCGACTCACTGAGTCGCCCACAACTCGGTCCGGTCTACACACAGGATGGTCTCAAGGACAATCTTCAAGCGACTCGTCGAGTATGTTCTTCAGACTCGGCGAGTCCATGCCATGCACCAGCTAAAACTGGCTTTTGCGGTCAGATCCGTTCCATAAATACATAGATCTGGCCTTCCCAAGCTTATTTGTCACGTAAAGTCTCAGTCTTGGTTGCCATGCAATGCATACAAGGCTTATTTTGAAGAAACAACCTTTAATATGGAAAGTTTAACTTCTAACTCAAAAGGATGGACATAAAGCTTGTCATAAGGGGTCTCCTGGACCTGCTAAAGTCCAGATCTAGGTCCCATATCCCCATGGGACCTCTTCATACTTCTTATTCAAGCCAAGAAATGCAAGAAGAAACCCTAGATTTGGCACAATCAACACAAAACACGAAGTTTGGCTCTGAAAATTACCTCAAGAAGACTTCCCCTTGAT